TAAAATAAATATTAATAATTTTTATATATAAAAATATTCATAGATTTTTTTAAAAGATAACGAAACAGGACGTCGGTAAAAATAAAAGTACAAGTTAAAGTAAACGAAAAAGTATCCATCTGACGACGAAATAAAATCCTTCGTGGATTTCGAAGAACGTAAGAATGAGGAAGTGACTATCGCACTTTTCAGGAAGACTCACACGTTTTTTTTTTTTTGCCAGAATTGTACGACTGCGCCAATATTTTATTCCGCGCTATGTTAATGCTTCGCTCATATATTTACCTGTATTTCGGGGCACGGGTTTTCTCTGTGCGCGCGATAGCTATCTTTTCCCGAATATTTGTATTCTCGAGGATCGCGAGCGAGGCGTGTGAAGATGATGCTTCTCGATTTAATCTCGCATCGCGGCGCGCATGAAAAGTGATACACGTGGCTCTTCATTCATTTTCGATTACGGTAAATTCCGCGGCGTACCGTTAATGATGTCAAATAATTTCTCGGGCCCGAAAAATCGCATTACGCATTACGATAATGCACTGCGACGCTTATCGCGACGATATTCAGCCGCGGATATTGTTTGCGTAGGAGATAGGCGCGTTATAACGGCGCTGTCTCAATGATAAGTAGTTATTAATTTTCTCACAATAGATTTTGTCGCAATAAGAACGTGGGATCCTTCGTGTTGGAGTGACATTCGATAAGCATCCGTGAAAGGTCATGATTTTAATGTTCAATATTCACGTAAATAATCGAGTTAAAACATCCTTTCTCTTTTGAATATTATTGTACATTATAACAAGGCGTCTATTCTCTGGACAGGAAATTATGAAATTCTCAAGGATTTTTTTATACCTGAAAAATCCGAGAATTCTTATGGAATTTTATTGAAATGAATTTTTATTATTATATATTATTATTTAAAAATTCTCTCTTATTTCGTACATTTGTCGTATATAGACAAACAATTCTCATTGTGTTGACATTTTCATTCTCGATTATTTGCTTTTTGCAATATCTTTTATATTTAATATTTTACTCCTTATCAAGAGCATTTCATGTATGAATATATTCTCTTTTTTCGAGAGAATAATTGTGACTTACAATCATGATTGTAACCAATTCGTCCGTTGTTAAAATTAATACACAAAATTTACACTCTATCGATTTGTTTGCTCCCATTATGTAATTTATATATTTATATGATTTTTTATTTGTATAGGATTTATTATCTCCTCTTGGAAATCTTTTCCACAGTGCCTCTTTTGATACGCTCTATCTCCAGATATTTGTATTAGCTTTTAATCTTATATGTGCCAGCAGTGCATTCTTTGAATTCGAATTTGATACTCAATTGCAGCTTTTTATCGCTATTTTGTTTCCTCTTTGTTTTTATCGTCGCTTAGTAGGATTAAATTTTTTTCGTTAGTTAGTCTTGTGATTACTACTTTTATTATGTCCTTACGAATTATTTCATTTTTCGTTTCGTTTATTCTTTACTTGGTCATCGGTTTAATGATCAGTATTTCTTGTGAGTAAATTTTTTACACTATCTATAATATTTATATCTACTGTATTTACGCGGGATTGTCTATCCGGCCTTGATAATGAAAATCGATCGTATTATCGGCTCGCTCAGCAATTATGATCGTGGTTTTATTACATTTTTGACAAGAATGTCTCATTATCGCGTGAGTACACGTAATTAATTTTCGATTACTGAGAGTTTTCGTTCCATTAATATTTTTCTTCACGTTTGCTTCTGCAATTGCTTCTTGCAATGTTGGGATCGAACAAGCAATTTGATATCGTCACGTAATCCTGGCTGGAAATTTAGTAAGCTTCGCCGTGATAATGAGCTGCAAAAGCGATTATAACTCTTACTAATCATGCGGCTTTCACCTCGGATTAATTTTGTATAAAATACGTAAATATTAATATTTTTCACACGGTTTCAAGCATCAATCATGTTCAAGATGGATATAATTATCTGAAATCTTCTCAGAACTTAAAAAAAATGCATTTGTTACATAACGGGAAAACATTTCCTCCCAGTTTTTCAAATGGTATTTGCTTTAAGTGACAAAACTCTTTTAAAATTAATTGAGAACTGTAGAACTTTTCTAGGGAACATAAAAAATTCTAATTATTTTTTTTTTCAAATTTAAAAAAGAAACTAACTTCATAGAAATATGTACCTGTTGTCTTTATAAAAGTACATTGTTCATAATAAAATTTATAAAGGAAGCTACTACTTGTGTATTTTCGTCATATAAATGTGTTTCCATTGCATTTTTTTGTTTATAGTTAGCTAATCATATTTTCTGTTATTTTCTACATTTTTCTCAAACTTGCGAATGAAATAATGCTTCTTTTTTTTTAATCGAAATGATATAAGAATATTCTTTTTTCGCTTATTTAAAAAGCAAAAAATATTGATTACAAAATATGCTCACAATTTTCAGATTGATTTTTTTTATATAAAATATATAATATTGTGAATAAAAATAAAATCTTTCTATAGAAAATTGAAAACGAAACAGCTATGTTAATTAATTTAATAAATTATAATATAAATAATTGAGACAGTTTAATAATAGGGAAGTTTGTAGTATCAATTCTGAAATTTTAATTAATAAAATAAAAACAATTACGAGTAAAAGGATATTCTTGGAGAAAATGCAAATTATTAAAATATCTCTCAAATTATCTTGGGTTATATACATATATTGTTGTCTACATTCCTCAGAATCTATAAATATTACATATTTAACAAATTATATTCGATGAAGTTATACGTTTGAACATCTGACTTAATAATTATCAATTTAATTATGTCAAGTTTAAATTATCTAATTTGTTCTTATGTTATTAAAGTCCTATTTATTTATTAAAAAATATAAAATTCTACATTGTTGATCAAACGAGAAGATCCGTTAGTCCAGGCATTCACCAACAGATGGCATCAGATTGCTTATGCAGTTGCATTGCAATTTATTAGAATCATTTGCATACAATTTTGTTAATATTGCATATATGAAACACTTCTCGAAATTAATTTTTGGTATTTACATCTTTGCATAAAAATCTTTGTTAAAAAAATTTTATTTTATTTTATTTTAAACAGTCAGATAAATTCAGAATAATATACGTAAATAAAACAAAGTTTTTATGTAAAAAAATATGTAATATTAGATATAAAAAAACGGAAGCCCCCCAAATATATACATCGTATACACATTTAAGAAATTTAGTAAAAAAATGTAGAAAAGAACGAGAAATATGATTAATCATACTTTTATATACTACGAAAGAGTTCTTATCTTGATCAGTTATCAGCATTATTCAAATCGCGATTTTTTTAATTAATCGTCTTTTATTTTGTATATTTTATTGTATTCCAAACTAACAATTTTCATTATGCTATTGATATCTTCATTTTCGATTACTTGTTCTTATATTGTTCTTATATTGTTCCAGTTAGATTTATTTTGATATCAATGTTGTTAATACTAAAATAATTGCGACTTTATTTGGTAATGATGAAAGAAAGAGCTACTTTAATATAGATCGATATCTGAATGTTAAAAACGCATTGATCTATTTTAAATTGTATTAATTTTTTTCTTCAAAAAATTTCTTAATTTTATTTATAATTTTTCGTCAACTTTTTATTCTAGTTTATTGGTGATTATTTTGGATCGTGTTGATTTCTTCAATTCGAATACTTTACTCTTATATTCATAAACTTCAGGAGAAAGAATATAAATCGTTTCGTTTATTTCTTTTTACAAGAAAGCTATTTTCATATCAAATAATATAATATTCCTTTTGAACTCTTTTTGTCAACAGGATGCATTATTGTTTATAATATTATTTAATTTTATTTATCATTTTTCTCATCGTGTTTGTAAAAAGTCTTTAAAGTATTCGTTGTTACACAAGAAACACATCAAAGATAAATTTTCGCGATCGCGTGACTATGTGTTTTAGTCTCTGACTTGATTTCAAATTTAAATTATTTTTAAAAATATTTTTAAATTATATAAATAGAAGCAACTTTTTATTTCTGATTACTTTTTTTTATCAATTTTACATTTCGATTTCCTATCTGTTTTCTTTAGGTACGTTTCATAAAAATATGTTTGGTTTTATTACAAATAAAACACTTTTTGTCTGAGTTATTATTTATGTTTAATTTTTCAGTTTCGCGCGCGCAGTGGTTTACCATATTGCATTTAAAGTATCTTTTCCCCATTTCAAAGGATAGATGTGCTAATTTCACATATTCGAAAATGTTATATATCTGAGAATAAAATATTAGAAGATCAAAATTTAATATTTCTACTATATTCGCAAGAATATTAGAAACTATTTATTTCAAAACTTAACATTTCTACAATAATCTTAATTAAAAAATTTAAGAGTCCGTAGTATGTACTTATACATGTACTTATACATGTTTTAATCAAAACAATAAAAAATTAATGTGTTATAAGTATTTAAACACAAAAATTTGTATAAAGCGCGCTTAATTAATAACAAATATGTCATTATAATTTTTTAAATTTCTATAGTTTTACCTTTTTGTACATATATCACAATATTCTGATTTACTTTTTATTCGTACATATTATAATCTCAATTACAGCATTAATTGTTTTATGCTGAATCCGGAACAATCTCCCCATGGTTATCCGTCATTTTTAACGCGGTCGCTCGTGCGTAGAAAACTGATTGTGAGAGTGTAACGACTCCATCCAGAGCTAGGTATATATGTACATACGTCGCATCGTTACTTTCATTGAGGCTGCCTGGTTCCGCGCCGCTCGACACCGGTGGAGTTCGATTATCCCCCTGTCGGCGTTGTCGGCGACGATGTCGACGTCGACGACAACGAGAGGAAAACGTCATCACGCATGCCCGTATTCCCCAGCACCCTCGTTCGTTCCGCGGAATCGCCCGACGGAGATTTTGACAGTACGCCGCCCTGCATCCTCCGCGTCGAGATGCATCTGGACCCTCGTCGACGTCGGCATCGGCCACCCTCGCTCTCGCTCGCTCGCCCGCGATCCCGCGACACTGCCGCCGGTATCTTCCGCATCTCGAGGAAGTCGCATCGGATGCGCCGCTTAAACGTGCGCGTTTAACAGCGCCGCTCGCGGAACAGGGTCAGTCGATAAACTCCGAGCGAGCGTTTGTGCGCGTCCCGAGTGTACCCTCTCTGGAAGGGAAAACGAGCTACGGAGGCACGGATGAAGTTGCCTTTTAATCTGGAACAACGTTCCAAGTCTCCGAGACGAATTGTTCTCGATTCCGGAGCTTTTCGCTCGGTTGCAAAGAGAAAGAGGTGATGATTACGGATAAATTGAATTGAATCGCCCCGAGGACTCGCACGATTCGCGTGGACGGTACCGTTTTTCAGTTACTGCTCTCGGGGTGGCCGAGAGAAATGGCAGCGCGGCGGGTCCGAATCCTCGCGACGTCTCGGAGCAAGACATCGACTCGTTTTTGAGCCAAGTGGTAGATGGGTGTAGTCGGGACTTGAAGTGTTTGAATGACTTGCGCACGGCTCGGCGGGAAGGTGGTTGCGTTAACTCAAGTATGCGGATTTCACGGGCATGTATACCTCCTCGATGAGGTGGGGCTGACTGTCTGGGCATCATCGTCGAATCACCGGCGGCGCGGGCGTCCCAAAGTGCCGTGTAAATCTTCCTGAAAATTACAAAGTAATCTCGCGGCGCGCTCGCGCGACGGCTCCGGGATCGGGTCTCCCTGTGTGCGTATGTTTACATGTGTTGTACATCACATAAAGCGGGGTTTGACGGAACAACGCCGCCTCTACACTTGGCGGTTTTGAATCGCGTGCGACTCGAAAGTATGTAGCGAGGAATAAGCTTGTGCTGCGGGACACTCCGTCGTGAAACTGTTAATGGTGACTTTGGTAACGTGATTGTGTCTCGTGATTCTCCTTGCGAAGGGCGGAGGTCTTTCCTTAGGCGGCTCTGGCCACAAACCTGCTACGCTCCTCACGAACGTGGAACTGTCCATCTGTCAGGAGCGTCTCTCTAACGTGAAATCCCGTTTGGGACCTTGACGGGCTCTCGTTCCCGCGCTCTCGGTCGGTTTCAAGCTATCCCGGTGCATTCGTTCGAAGGTGGGCGGATGCCGCTGTCCGTGCCAAGGACACGTATCCTCGGGCGCGGGATCCGAGAACAATGAGTATCTCAGAATGGCCGTTTGGCTGCGCGATGCCGGGATGTCGTGGCGGGAATACAAAACTCGAGTTGTCTCGTTCTACCCTTCGTTCGCGTCGTCATCCTCGGTATCGTCGCCGTCGTTTGCTTCGCTGAAACGCATAAACGAAACCTAGCTGCATCGCAAATTTGCATCCCGTGAGAATAAATTCACCAGGAGAGTGTCGAGTGAGACTCTCTTTTGTCCGTCTATGACGATTCGAGGGAACGAAAAAACGCAAAGAAGAGAAAAGAGGATAAGGAGAGATTGACGAATCGAACAGGATGAATAATTTTGATTGGAACTTACTGCGACCGAAGAAGGTACAGTTTATTAAATCGAGTGTAATATATTTCTCGCGATTTTTCGATTTCCTTGTGTCAATTATTTTCTTCTTAATTTTTCGCAAAGTTAGCACGAAGATAATTTTCAGATTTAGAATAGTGTGAGTTTGGAAGATTTGAATTTATGTTTCTAGATATGTTTCATTCTGACAGTTTGATGTATAATACATTGGAACATCAATTACTTTTTTATTGTAGATATATAATTTTGCTGCGCAAATATTAGATTGAGCTTTATTTGATTTGATCTTCATTTATGTTGCTTAATCTATAAAAGTATAAATCTTATATATATTAATTATATATGTATAAGCATATTTTTGTACGAGATTTTTCATGTACAAATAAATATTGAATACGTGTACCATATTAATATGAGAGAAGGGCACGCGTATAAATATTTTATAATTTTTAATTTATTTTTATATTAAAAACATTTATTAATTATATTGTATATTATTAAAACAAGGCATTATTTTTTTATTTAGATATATGTATACTTAAGATCTTTAGAAAACAATATATATGATCTCTTATTTTTCCGCTGCGTGTAATTATGTTGAAAAACAACTATGCGCGTACTCGTGGGTTAAAAGTGCTATTAGTCAATTTCTAAACATAATGAATATAAGTAAGTCGTGATTACAAATTGCCACTCATAAAAAAATGACTCATTGACCCGCGGAAAGATTAGTGCGACGGTACATCATAGAGCAAGCTGCTCGTTTTCGCACGTAGATGGATGTATAGTTGAGAATAATAGACACCGAGTGCCGCTATAATGACGATCCATTAGTCACCGGGAGAGCGAGATGGCCGGAAACGTGGAGAATTGCCTTTTTGAGAAATATGAAGAATCTCACTCTCTACGTGTACTTTGTGCGCCAATAGAGTTCAGAGTTTCATTTCCGTCGTTTTTATTCCCATTGGCTCGGAAAGCACGGTCATTGTCTTTCAAATTTCTGCTGATCTCGCATTGTTAACAGACACGTGCGAAACTAGAAAACCTTGACCTCGTGATATTCCGTTACTTTCTGTAGTGTCATGATACACTATTTAGCGTTTAACATATATCGTATATCTAAGGTACGTGTGCGAATACATGGAAAAAATGTAAGGAAATGGTTAGAAATAGGATCATTTTCATTCCCTAAACTGTATCAGAAGATTAATGATATGTTTCCGTTGACAGTTTGATTCGATAATTGTTGGGGGGTATAAGAGGTGAGGACGAATACTAATCATCGCGATGATTGCCATCATATATCGAATAATAGAGATGTTGGAAATGATCACAAAAGCTGTCTTATGCTGTTTGAAGATAAACGAAGCGAATCAGTACCGGAAATTATCTTTAGCTATATATATCTTTAGCTATATATATATCTATATATTTAATGTTATATATTTTATTATCTTTATGGCTATTTATATCTATATATTTAATATGTAGTCTAAATTTATATTTAATTTTTTGCCCTCATGCCATGGAAAAAAGAAAAGCCATTTAATATTTGACTATCAATTTTCAAATCATGTATATGTTTCGATCAGCTGTGAGTTGACACTTGTCATTATTTAGATTTGTCATTTAAAAAATGAATTTATTAATCAAATTATTTTTTCGAGCAATTGCAGAATAATTTGTAATTAATAGACATTTATTTAAATGCCTATTAATTAAAAATTATCCTGCAATTGCTCAAAAAAATAGTAAAAATAGTTCCATAGAACAGGCTGATTTTTAATTAGTGATTGTATAGAAATTAAATAACCGCGTACCGGATTGCGGACGGGATCGCGAATACAATACAATACGCCTGCGTCACCGAACTCTATTTGGATTAGACGTGTATTCTCGATATATTTGTTCGGCGTGTTAGCAGCGACTCGCGGTAAAGTTACTTGCGTTTTGTCCGCCGGCGATATTAGCCTGCGTTGCGTGTACGGGCGCGAACGCGTTCGGAAGGATTTGCATAACAGAAAGAAGGCGTTACCGCGGCCGGCATTAAATTTCAGGCATCAATGCGTCCGGCTTTCTGTCCCCGCGGTCCTTTCTTGCGTCTCCGGTAATTACCGTACGTACCCGATGGAGGCATTTCGAGGTGCCCGTCGTGTCGTAATGGCGCCCTGTCGCCCTGTCGCATTGTCTGTTTGCGCTATCGGCGCGCTTTATCGCCATTGATAAAAACGGCTTTCGCCCTCGGCGGTAAGACTTTAACCCGGGTGAGTTATGCGCGATCCGAAGAGCGACATTCATACGCGCATATTAATGGATTGTCTATACGTGTCCCGCGGCTCAATCGGGCCCCGATCATTTGCATTGAATGCGTCAAGTGTATGATGATTTGCTCGCTGACTCTAATTTACCCGTGTAATTGACTTGGCGACGAAATCGCGCAACAACGAATAGCGAAACGCCGTCGGTTCTCTGAGCGTAAACGGTTTCCCTGCAAAAATCTTAATCGCGCGACATTTATCACGACGCGTTACATGAAGTCGGACGATCGCGCTCCGCGTTATTAATGCGTCGTAAAGTGTCATTCGCGTAAAAATTGGAAAATACATACCGACATAACAGACACAATCGATAGATATCGTGCGCGATCTCGTAAGTAGAGCGATTTTCCGCGTGGACGAGTATTTACTGTGGGGAGACATAATCAACGATGGGTTCTCCCTCACAATCAATCTTCTGGCTGGATTTATCTCGTGACATTTAGCGCGTCGCGCCGATCAAGTAATCGTCACGATTTTTGTTTTTTCTTTTTCGCATTGGTGGGATAATAACGTGTATTTGAAAATTGTTAAGAGAAAGAGCATTATTTATTTTGCGCTCTGGGACACAATTTGCTCAGGAGAATGGAAAATTAACGAGACCGTGTTGTAAAGTGGAGACAGGAGAGCGAACTATTGCAAGAATATTGCGACATTTTGCAGAGGAGTGCTGATTCGCTACAACGGATGGCAAATCGATCTCGTGTTCCTTTTCTCGCGAATCGTAGGAGCGGAGATGCGATTGTTATATTACACGTTTCGAAACTGGTTTCTCGCTTGCAGGTACAATTGTACGACTTTGATCGCGCCCAATAAAAAAATATTTCATTAACGGGAAACATTTGTCACCTCCCACTTCCTCCCGACTAGTGAGCGATGAAACTATGCGTCAGGGGAGCAATAATTCCCTTCCAAACTATGAATATGTAAAATAATATTGTACAAGCGTTTACTGTGACCGAGAACTATACATATAAATTATATGAAGGGTTTGTTTATGTTATATAAATCGTAAAATTAATGTAAACTAATGTAAATTAATGTAAAATATCTAAATTTATTACATATCTTTTTTTATATAATATATTTAAAGATAAACATGACAATACACATGATATATGCATTGCATTCATTTAAATAATTTTTAATTTCGTTTTTTTTTCTATCGTGAGAAGAGAATTATATATCGTCATGTTTTTCTTTATGTCAAAGTTGATAGTTGCGAAAATTTTTTTAAACATTTTAAACTTAGCTTAGGTCTAGCTGCTTTAAAATATTTTTGCATCCTTAATACATTCGTAAAAATAAATATTCTTTACTCGCGCATTCGTGCATATCTATTCGTTATCCGCTTTAACAATATCCCGATATTTAAATCACGACAATCCAAGTCTGCAAACTCTAACGACGAGATGAAGACGATCTTTTATATGAGATTTAGGACAAGATATATAATCAATGTCGATCTGGATTGCGGTTAAAGTAACCACGTATTCTCAGTACGCGGGATAATGGAAAACTTATCAGATCCGCGATCAACCACAAATTGAAATTAACTCGCTCACCTTGGCCCATGTTTATTCTCATTAACCAAGTGAGGGATAGAGAGAGAGAGAGAAAGAATTGCGATAGCTGCACGCGTGTGAAAAATTTAGATCATAATTTCGTGATATGGCTTTGAGGTGCATGATAGAAATCGATGGAAATAGACGATTATTATATCGACGTCAATTCGCGCTCTATGGTAATATGAACGGAATTGACTTTTTCGTCGAATGTGTAAATTGCGAGATGCCTTACAGTCGTGACTGCAAAAGGATATGACGTGCTGGTACGTGCTTTAAAGTAGGCCAATGGAACCGGCCGTTGCCCGGCACTGGGGTAAGAATGAAAGAGAGGAGGGTCGATATAGTTCGAAATCAATAAGTTCGTCTGCAGTTAGCTATATAAGTCTGAACATTTTTCAATAATATATATTTTATCTTTATTTCTGTTTTCCGGACAACAGATATTTATAAATCTTAACGTGGCTGTAGATTGTAAAAAATACATTAACAAACATTTATTATTAGACTGGCAAATTATTCGATCGATTCCCACACACTTGTATATATATATTTACTGAAATTGATAAAATATCAAAGTAGCAAATACTGCCAAATTATTAGCATATAGAGTCGCTAAAACCCTAGTAAAAAAAATTAAACCAAACTGTTCATGTAATATAAAAATATGTAAAAATATAAATTAAATTAAATTGAAAAATATTATGACATTTCACATGTATTACAATATCAAAATTATTTTGATACATGATATTATTATATATATTATTACAATGTAATATATGTATGTATCAGTGAAAAGTATGCGAGTGTGTATTTTTAGAGCCGCATGAAGTTATATTTGAAAAAAACACGCAGCTTTCTGTTCGTCGCCTCAAGCATCGTTTAGCCAAGTGCAAACGAATCGGGGGCACTACTTCCGCTTCCCGTTGTATCGCATCGGGGTGGGGCTAGCATCGATCGCAACCCTCGCGTGCGCTACACAGTTTCCACCCGAGCTCTCGAATGCGCAGCAGCCATGGGAACAGCCACGTAGCAAAACACTTTATCTCCCTTTCTCTTTTTTCCGATTTTCATTCCTGCTCGAATAATCTAATTGGAAAATAATCTGATTTATTATTCTCTATTTTCCCGAAG